CGTTTGTTACAAACCCACCTGTGACTGCTATACAACCTCAAACCCCTGACCAAATGCTCCTGGAAAATGGGTGTTCTCCACTGCTCTGACACTCAGCCAGCAGCGTGGAGGAATAAATTCATGAGAGTGTGATTAATGCAGTCACTGGTAGAGAACCTCATCTTCCCCATCCCCTTTCCAAGGAGGGGAGTTAATGGCAGGGCCTGGCTTTCTATAGGAGCCAGGGCCGCCAGGCTGAAAGGCTCGGGCCACACGGAGCTTGGAGGTCACTTTGGCGCACTGCCCAGATGCTCAGGCTTCATTTTTTTCCCTGATGTTTTTGAGCTCAGTGCTAACTACTGTTAGCAGACAGAAAGCTCTCTGCAATTCTTTCCTCAGAGCTAGCTACAAGAAAACTACCAATTATAGCCAAGAAACAGTCTTTCAAATACACATACACACTGTCATGTGGGCTGGAAAGCAATTGGAAACTTTTTTATTTGCCCTTTAAGGCCAGAAGCAGGCACTTAAGGCAAACTCCTAAGACGTTTTGAAGAACAGAACAGTTGTACTAAATTTAGCTTCCTAACCAGCCAGTTGGCATATGTGTAATGAAAGATTTAAAAGGAAAGAAATCCAACCACTGAAACAGAAGACATAGATGGATGAAAAGAGGTCTACTAATAGGCAAATATATTTTTAAAAAGATGCTTAAGGAACACAAACAGAGTGATTAGCAGCTTATTACTTCCCTTCTATGAGCATCTAAGATGTCTAACTGGTATTCATGAAACTTTTTGAATTGCTGACTGAACTGTGAGTTCCCAATAGAAGGAATCCTGTCTTTCATGTTGAATCATGAACCATATTTTGCACAGTGCCTGGCATGTAATGAAGGGTGAGGGATGCATGCTGCATAAATGAGCAAACAGACGTGTCTTTGCCCCTACAGAAGCTTCTAGACTTGCAGATAAGCAAGAGTCATTGGGTAGATTCATTTCCAGTTCCTTGGGCCAGTCTAACAAGAAGTTCAGCTGAAGATGGCTGAAGCTGGTGCAGGTTCTGTCCCCGGCCTTGTCCTCTACTAACCTGCAAATGTTTCTGTTGGTGATCTAGTAACAGTGCTGTGGGTTTGTTGTCTTGCAAGCTATGCTTTGAAATTAGATGCATGGAATTGGGCTAAACCTAAGGAAGTCTCAGTGAGAATCCACACAACCATTCACCGCCAGGATGGCTGGCCTAGGTTGAAGAGCAGCTCCAAAGTTTGCTAGGGTCACCTGAACAGCCAGTGGCTTTGTGTTCCAGCCTTGGGAGGGAAGTTGTTTTCTCTAAGTCAAACTAGACTTCCTCAAAGGAGAAGGGCTCCAAGCTTCCCTAAATCACTGGAGCAAAAGCAAGAAATTTGGAGTTAGGTTCACAGCAACCTCTCTCGCTGTTTTTGTGGCATCTTAAATATTATGCAGGAGCTTGTCTCCCACCCCTGTACTGCTAGCAGAAGGTATCTTTTCCCTATTCCCTTTAAATTTCTTCCTACTTTACTCTGTTGTACTAAAATAAATCCTTGCTAAAACTTAAAAAAATAATAATATGCAAATTAATGAGTCGGGAAACAATGAAGAGACCAAATTCTATGCTTGGAGACCCAAGTGTAAGGAAGACAACAAAGCTGAAAGTCTTCCTTCAGCAGGGCTTTTTCTTTCCCCTCACTTAATGGATCATAGGGCTACATGTTAATTTCTACTACATTTTTGGTCTTTCACTATCATTGCATTAATGGAGTCTCCCTACAAAATGATATATACCTGAGAGGAACTTTGGAGACTAAAGATTCCAGTTGATGTGAAGCAATTTTCCTGTATGACATTTATCTCCCGTGCATTCTTGGGCTTTTTAAGATAAAGGAGTTCTTATGCGTTTAGTAATAACAACACACATAAACCCTCTAATCTCTTTATTAAGAATGAATGGCACTTATTTAGAAAATAATAGCTCTATTTTCAACTAAAAGATATTTTTCAGTTACATTTTTCTGTTGCAGACTGGAGAAGCAGAAGTATAATAAAGGAGGGATAAGAATGCAGTCCAGATCCAGCATGAACAAAAAATTAAACACTGAGTAAATTAATCTCAAGTGTACAAGGAAGGTGAAGGAAGTTGGAGCAGACAGTTGGTAGAAAAGAATTCACTGCCACCTGGCCCACAGTGCAGTGCATCCTAAAAAAAGCGAGAAGCAGAAGGCACTAGGTATAGTTCATTGCTGGAGCACAACCATGGCGTGTACGAGGCCCTGGGTTTGCTTGTGGAGACCTAAAAATGTTTTTTAAATAAAGAGTCTATTTGATAATTAGGGATATGGTGGTGAAAGCACAGAATTCCTGCACCCCTTTCACTCAGTACATATATACTGTACATTGTTAGCTATTAGATCTTTCTGGAGTCCAGGAAGAGCCACAGCTGTGAGCCCTGAAAGTGGGTTTTCTCTCTTCTTTCTTTTTTTGTGGTACTAAGGTTTGAATTTAGGCACCTTGAGCCACTCCACCAGCCCTTTTTTTGTTATGGTTTTTTGTTTTGTTTTGTTTTTTGAGATAGGGTTTCTTGTACTATTTGCCTGGGCTGGCTGTGAACCTTGATCCTCCTGATCTCTGCCTCCTGAGTAGCTAGGATTACAGGCGTGAGCCACTGGTGCAGGGCTGTGTGGGTTCCTGACAAAGGTACAGCAGAGAGGGGTGGGGGCTGGCTGGAGACTACCTGGTGGTCCAGGAAACTTTGACCCTGGATACCTAGACATGTAGAAGCTGGCCTGTGACACCTTGTTCAGAGGAAATTCCTTGTGGCTTTGCTCCAGATCCTGTAAAAAAACCAAAGGTGACCTTCAATGTCTTAGATTCCACCCCTCTTACTTTACAGATGTGAGACAGCTGAGGTGCAGAACACAAAAGGCTTTGCTGAAAGGCTCAGAGTGAGTCAGAAGAGAGCTAGGAGTCAGGTCTCCCTTTCATTCATGCCCCACATTTAATTAACTGTGTCTGTACAACAGGCAAAAACTATTGGGATTATTAGCAGGATTCCTCTCGCCATATACCTGGAGAATTTTTATGGGCCAGTGGTTTTTAAAAACATAATTGACTTCATAAGAGATTCCATCAATTTATCAAAGTACAAAAATCTCAACGTGAACGTTTCTTTAGATCTGAGGGCACATCACCCACTAAAAAAAATTGATTCATTTACCTGGATTGCTACATTACATTGCGAATAAATATAGTATTTTAATATTGTTATATTAAATAGCATCTTAATACCTCCTTCCAAAGTCACTGATGAATCTCCAGTTGAAATAGTGAGCACAGGTGGATTTTTTTTTTTTTTTTTTTTTTTTTTTGTCATTACAGCACTGAAATTTGCTTTCAGGTCAGGTCTGTAAGTGTAAATATCACAGATTTCTGAATTTCAAATTGACCGGACACAAATGAAAGCAGCACACCACTTACTTGAGTCTCTTTGGGGCTTCCTGAAGACCTATCTGCTACTCAAGCAAAAAGTAACACAACTGCCCTTTTACATACATTAGAAAAGTGACTGTTGCCACTCTGGATTTGATTCTTTGTTTCAATAGCTGACTCTTCTCTGGGCTGGCTCAGGAGACTCACACACAGCAGGCTGGGCAGCCAGATTGTGTTGTTGGCTAACAGTGATGTTCAAACAGTGGACTTAGCTTTCAGACAGAGTGAAGAGCATCTCCTTATGCCTCCCTTCGAGAAGCTTCCACAGCTACCATTCCTTCTCCCCACTTGACAAGTGCGACACCTGCACACATCTGATTCTCTTCACTGGGCTTGGCTGACTTAGTACAGAGAATGTGGTCTCTAAAGCAAGGTAGAAATGGTGGCATTGTGTCATACAGGTCACCAAGTAAAAACTGAAAATGCAAAAGTTCACTGTTATTTTGTTCTACCTAGATTAAACATAAGTCATCTTGGCACATAAGATAATTTAGGGACTGGGCTGTAAATCGTGCCCCAAAACTTGGATTTGTAACCCAGTGAGACACAGAATAAAATCGTGCAGATGAAATTACTATTTTCTGTTTCTAGCAAGAATTAGACTGTACCTCTGGGAGGTTTTTGTTTGTTTATTTGTTTTTAATGGGGAGCATTTGCTCAACAAACACTTCTTTAGTACAAAGACTCTACTAGGCTGAGACTGCATAGATCCCTGAATCCTAAACCGATCTTTCATCACTACCTCCTGGGGATGCCTACAAGTTGTGGCTTTTTTACTTGCCAGGGCTGGAACCTTGGGCAAGTCAGTCAGCCCTGGGAAATCCTATGGCTTGTTTTCTGTACTGACTTCAGGGGCCTTTCTAATCCTTAATCCTTAGACAGCGATTTTAGCCCTCAGATCCTGGTGCTGCTCAGGGTCTCCCCTATGGGTGGGACTCTGGCTACTCAAAGCTCCCCAGCGAGTGTGATGATGATAGACTCCAAGAGCCTGGGAAGCACTCCAAACCTTCAGGGCATCGTCCCTGGAAGGAGAGCTTTGGGCCAGTGGCTAACCTCACCACCGGCCTCTGGTTTATCTTAATTCAGAACCACAAAAAGTGTTTTAATCAGTGGTACATTTTTATGAAGAACATTTGACTTTTTCCTTTCCCTTGAGACTACTGTGAAGAAAAATGAAGTGTTCGACAGCAAACTTCTTTGCTTAAATGGAAACAAAATCAATCTGCAGTTAAGAATAAGATAAGAGGACAGTCCCCTTTCCTCTCAGCTCACCTTGTAGGTAGGTGACTACTTATTCCTACTGTGCAACACAGGGGCCACCAGAGGCATTCCCTTCTCAGGACGATTAGGGTTTTATATAGAGTAAAAGGAGGCAAATCAAACTTATACAGAAAAAAAAAAAGAAAAAGAAAAAGAAAAAAAAAAGAAGAAAAGGAAAATACTTTGAAGGCGCTTTTTCCATAGGAAAAAAATATTTTATTTTTTTAAGAACAAATTCAGTTTGAAACAGACGTGGAATGTATCTTCATGGATCTCATTTTCTGGGGGCTAACTGTAATGTGGAACTAAAGCAGATTTAAAACCTATGACAGGCTATTAAAATAAAACAAAGGAAGAAAAAAATATTTATAACTCAAGCATAATACTGTGTTACTTACAAATTGGACAACAAAATTTTAAATAAATATTCATGGTACATAATTACGGCACAAATATGCAGCAATTTGGCAACCTTTTATACCATTTTCCTCATTACAGTGCAAAGGGGAGTGACGCTGCCATTAAACAAGCTGTAGCTAAATACATTGCAAAATTCAGATTTTATACAAAACATCTTGCTTAGACTTTATAAAAAACCAACATTGCTCTATGTACACAATCTGGGTAAGAAAAACCATTTCTGTTTTGTTTTCATGTGTATTTTTATTAAAAAGGTGAATAAGGCTACTGTAACACCCCAAATCCATAGACAGTAAAATCTGAACCTATTTACAGCATCTTCACTTAAACATGATGGTGCAAGTTCCGAAGTCAGGCGACTAGGGATGAGAATACAGCAAGGCATTTACAGTAACTTTCCAAAGCTGAACCAACTCCAAAGAAGGGGACAGTTGGTAGATTGTCATTTTCTGCACCAGACACAAAACAGACGCACCAAACACTTTTCAATTGGTTGCAGGTAACTCTTCATCAACTCATCTGATTTTTCACAGTTTAGCATATAACCAAAATGTAGCCAACTGAAGATACTTGATTTCATTAAAATCAGGACTGTTTCCCATTTCTCCCCTCCTCGCCCCTCTCCCCCATCCTACAAGTAACTTTTGATGGCTTACAAGAGAATCTTGTATGAATGCACAGAAAGGAGAGGTTGGGGTGATGGAAAGAATTACATATGTACTGTGGCCGGTCACCATGGCAACCTCCACAGAAATATGATATAGATATATATAATATATATTGGAGATATATATTATACATATATGTACACATGTATACCACACACCCACTCACACATACACACACGCACTTTGGACCAACACCATTTTCAGGTTCAGGAAGTAGGGAATAAGTTTCTGTGACAACTCACTTTTGCAGGTACTCACTGGAGGTCTGAGAACCTTCAAATGCTGTCGCTACATTTTTTTTTTTTTCCTCCCAATTCAGAAAGCAAAGCGTTACCATAGTAACAGGACTCTGTTAAAGATGTCTATTTTGCATAGCACATAAAAAAAGTAGGTTTCCTGTTTCTGGAAGGGCGGGGGTGGGGGAGGGGGAAGAGAGGAGGAGGGAGCCACAGCTAAACCTGCAAGTGAAACCCCTCAGTGTGACCTGCTGGATTCTAGAGAACACTTGAGCCCGGTAAGGCAAGGGAAAACCCGGCACGGAAGGTAAGTGCGGGAGCATTTTGTCATTGTTACACATACGATACAGTCACATCCATTTCCTGGAATTTGGGGCTTGTATTTCCTAGTCTACAGTTTGTGAGATGCCTTCAGAAGGCTTTGTTATTTTTAAATTTGCTCTGATTATTGTTATTTTTTGGAATGATGATGTTTTTCCCAGAAGTAGCTGTCCAATTTGTTGATTTTTATTTTTTAAAGCACTGAGCACTGGGAACGTTTAATTGCTACAAGTAAATTTCACATCTTCTGGTGTGTACTGTGTGCAATCTTAGAATATATATTAGTAAAAAAAAATCTTTCATTTTATATCCCTTGTGTTCTATATACCTATTATAAATACGCCCTAGCTTCCTTCTCCCCCTCGACATCATAATTTACTTCCGTCTTAAGGACTCTAAGAGGTTTGCCAAATGTGCTTCACTTTGACACCGAGCACCGGGCCGCGCTGGTCAGTACCTCCCAGCAGCCTCGCAGCCCAGACAGCACCGCCATAAACCAAAGTGTCGTAAGGCTCAATGGGGAGGGGGCGGGGACAGGGGCATTTAGGGGAGCTGGGGAATCTGACCTACCTTTTAAATATGAGAGCTCTTTAATAACGCCAGTGCTGATGGAATTACAGCCTGTATGACCGTTGGCTTTTCAACTTCTAGGTCAGATTTGGCTCTGCTGTTCTCCTAAATGCTTTCCCTGCGTTTAATAAAATGTGATAAGTATAGCAGCTGAGTCTGCTTCAAACATCACCCAAAGCAGACCGACTCTCCTACAGCTCCCGAGCTGTACGTCTTATTGCCAGTACCACGACAGTCCTGCCCGAGCACATCGGCGGCCTGCTTTCTCCCTCCACTCGAGGCCCCCCTTGTTCCTGTGCACGAGAGGGGTGCTTCCCTGCACGGCTTCCTGGTAAAGTAACCCCGCCACACACCGCATGGACTGCGCCTGGTGGCTCCTGAGGCCTCTGCAGTCTCCGCCAAACCCAAGTGCTGTGCTGCCTAATGTTCCCTTCTCCCTTGCCCACTTGTTCCACAGGCAGCAGCCTTGCCCTGTATGGTAGCCAGCCCTTCCCGCCCCCTCCACCACGCTTAGTTTAGTGGCTGATGCCTGGCCTTTCTGGGCAGCCAGCAGGCCTGGTTCTGGTTCTGGGAATGATGACCAGCGAGGCTGAGCTCTGGGTGCAAAGGGCGGAGGCGGGACTCTGCGGTGTCCCGTGGTGATGCACAATGTGGAGGTGAGGGGTCGCAGGTGAGGTGCTGCAGAGCCCTGGGTAACAGAAGGAGTGAGACAGTGAGGACTAAACGCTAGAGATCTTTGAAAACCTTACTTAGCCCGAGGTCCGAGTGACAAGTTCAGTGCCTGCGAGCGGAGGCACACCGAGGCGGAGGCCGGCCTTGGCCGTGCAGCCTCCCTGCGCCACGGGGCTTCGTCCCGCACCATCGTGTCCTCCCCGGGCTTCCGCGAAGGCCTGAGTGACGCAGCGCATGGCTTGGAGGCCGCGCGGGGCGCGCAGCAGTCCCAATGGGATCTCCTAGCAGTCTTCGGCTCCCGGGGAGGTCTGTGGTCACCAAGGCCGAAATGCTACAGACTAGAAAGCCGTCCAGCCCCGGGCCCTTCCAAGAGGCGGGCTCCGCATCCGCTGCCGGGCTCAGCCAGTCCCGGGCGCGACAAGGCGACAAGGCGGCCGCCGAGGGGAGGCGAGGTGCCCGCGCGGGCTCAGACCTTGTAGTAAATGTTGGCGGGGCTCTGCGGGGGCATCTCCTGCACGATGTACACCGGGTGCCCGTAGTCCCCGCTGACCTTCTCGTAGTGCGGGCAGAACACGCTGTCCGCAGTCCTTAGCGGGATGATAATGTCACTGGGCTCCGAGCCATTGTTGTTGCCGCTGCGCTTGGGCGTGGCCAGCGTGCTGAGCGACAGCGTGGTCGTGTGCTGCGGCGAGTGCTTGCGGTGCCGGCGGCGGTACTTGAGCAGAAGTACCACCAGCGTGATGATGATGACGATGAAGATGATGCATCCTGACGCGATCCCTGCGAATAAGGCCACTTCGGAACCGAGGAGATTGTTCCCCGAATGCCCGGCGCTGTTGCCGTCTGTGCTGGAACCTGGGTACGCACAGAAGAACAGAAGGTTACTGCTGTCCTCGGGGCCACCCCGCTGCCTTCAGGATCCTTCAAATTGCGAGAAAAGAAGCCAGGCGGGGAGATTGCCACAGGCCAATCACCTGCTTTAGCAGCGAGGCCTCAGCAATGAGCGGGAGTGCCCTCCAGGTTGGCCTTCCCCAGCCACATGGCTTCCTTTTCTTTCAATTTCACCCACCAAGGCAGGACTGGAGCAACAGCCAGCCCTTGAGCTCCTCAGCTTTTCACCCCTCGTGCGCCAGCCTGGGCAACTTTGGGGAGGAAAAACAGGAGAAAGGCCACCACTCCACCACTCTGGGTTTAGCCCTCTGACTCTTCCCCTTCCCTTCCCTCTAGAATCCGTGTTTCATGTGACTTCAAATGCCTGCCTTCCCGCAAGAGCCCTGCCTACTGGCAGCACAGCGCCGGGAACATGGAGCGAGTGATGGGGCCTGGGAAAAGATTCAACTCCTAACTCGTTTGTATTATTTGATTTACACTTAAAATATATTTGGAAGGCAGCAGACACTCTCGCACTGAACAGACTGCCAACCCAAATGTTAAGTACTAAAAAATTGCCTGCCATCATTATTTTATCCATTTATCAGTTTGTCACAAGAATTTGACACATCTTGTCATTGAAAGTTAGAAATAACAACTTCCCTCCGTGACTCTTAGAAAGAGACAGAGTATTACTGCAGATGCTAAATTCTCTTAACTACCAATCACACACACAGATCCCTAATACAGAAGTGTTGACGTCCCCCTAACAGCTGCTACATGAAGCCTGCATCAGCACAGTGAGGGCCACACCACTATTTGTTCCAAGACTGCTAAGAAAATGAAGTTTCAGTGGCAGCCAGTTTTATCTGGTATTCTGTACTGTGGTCAGGGAGTCCTTTAATATTTCATTTTGCACACAAAATGTGAACAACATTACCACTAGTAACTTGAAAAGCTACCATTCTGCAGTATTTAAAATGTTACCATCCAAAATTCAGAAGGGGATCAGGAAGCTCTTTGTGGATTAGATATAATTAGATGAGGGATTACAACATTAATTATACATACATTAACATCAGCTTTAAGCTGGCGTTGACAACGAACTTGATACAGTGTCAGCCAATGAAAACTGGGCTGAAAGAGTAGTGCTAAAGACTGGCACGTCCACCTGATGAGTTCTAGTCTTCCAAGTGCACTTAGCAATGACCCACGGAGAACAAAGATTACGAGGTCTGGAACTACCAGTTAATCTGACTGCTGTAGAAGAACTTGACTGTTCTACCTCTTGCATGCTATGAATGTGGTCACACAGACCCACATACACACAGACCACTGCTGTACCTGGATTTGGTTTTACAAAGGGACTTGTTGTGGAACTTCTTCCATTTGTACCAGCTTCCAGTTCTGGACGTCTTGTTGGATCATTATTCCTGGTTGATCCAGCAGAACTCGCATCTATATGAAGAACAAATGATTAATTACAGCACAGACATCTGATGATAGCTAGCTTTAGGAGCTACACATATATCTCAAGAAGCATGAATAGCAATGAGCATAAGATACTTTATGCAAAGCACTATGAAATACAAGAATATAATTTTCCTTTTAAAAGAAAATGGTTATACTAGTTATTTCAGAGGTTTAGATTGTGAGGCCATCTGTGGAAACTATAGGGATTCTTACATTTGGCAGGCAAAGCATTGCAGATGACATTTCAATTTAACTGAGCAAGTTGATTGACTACTATACCGATTTTTAATTAGAAGAGTAATTCTTTCTTTCTGCCAATAGGTTATCTCTATGTGAAAAGGCACAGTGAACACAACTCTTTAGTAGTCAAGATCTGAAAATGAGCAAAACTGAAGAAACATAGTTTCCATTCTGGATATTCTGATTTTGAATCAAAGAGGTGTTTTGCTTCTTAAAAAGAAATATACATATATATGGCAATAGATTTTCTGCCTGGCTGATCATAACTTTTAGAGAGCTCTCCAATAAGAGAAGCTTACTACATTGACTAGAGGAAATTTATTGATGGCTTGAGGTGCAGAAGGGTCTGCTTTCAGAACTAAGGAGAGGAGGGATGGAGGCGAGTGTCACCAACATTGGTGCCACGTGTGCTGGGGGATAAACCAGATCACAGTGGCTTCACAAAGCAGCAGATGGTCTTTACCTTGTCCAACTTTCATGAGGATCTTCATGGCTCTTGTCTGGCACACCCCTCCCTCCTGGTTATCCAGGCCCTCCAAAGACCCATTTGATGTAGCTGATTAAAAATAAAATGGACAAAACAAAAAATAAAGAAAAAATCAGGAAATCAATAAGCCAAGTTTACATGAACATGAAATGTCTGAAAACAATTTGAAAAATAAGAATTTACTCTCAGTTACAAGTTTTCTAAAAGTATGGGATGCTGAAAGCTGAAAAGAAAAAGAAAAAGAAACAAAGAGAAATGGGTATGGGAAGCACTGCACGCTGTCCAGTTCCGAATGCACTAACAGTTTCCCTCCTTCACATATGACTGGTCTAGTTAGTATTAGTCTACAGATAAAGGGACAGCATCCTCGAAAATGCCTACTGATTGTTTGGGGGCAAATGCAAAGGAGCAAAACAGTTCATACAGTAATTTGAAAATGCAGTAATCATTTCATGACACCTGCTTCCTCCACTACAGATTTCCTGTTTCAAGAACAATTAGGTTGGTGCACTGTTTGTCAAGCTTCCAAGTTCTGTAAATACTAGTAGGGGAGCTCTCCCACACCCCTTTTCCTTTTTTCCAGCCTTAAACATGCCGAAGAAGAACACGACAGCTCAGGTCACCACTCCATCACTTGTGAACCCAAAAGAACACCTATGTCATAATTGTCAGTGTCAACCCCAGTCACCCTCTTCAGCTAAGCTACCTGCTGTCAGAAAACCTGGCTGGGTAGAGGGATGACATCTCCCCACCCTCACTGCCTGGTC